GTCTGATTTCTTTTTAATTATTGTAAATGCGTTTTTCTAAGATACATAAACTTTTGGGATTGACTGTATAGCCAATACATCCTTAATGCACCAAATCAATTATTCTTAATTAAAATACCAATATTCAACCATAATTCAATACTGTGTAATTTTCAGTCGAGCAAAATGTTTCTAATATAAAATATTGAACTATCCTTTTTAAGGGTAACATTTAACACAGCTTAGAAAAAGTTTTGCTAACAGGTTTACTAGTTTGCAAGGACGTTATTATAATAGGTGTTGACGGCACCAACGTGGGAGATAATTAACCTAATTGCCGTTATACCGTTGGTAACGCGTTAAACGCGTGCAACGTGCTTCGTTTAAGATAGTTATCGCAGTCTAACTTCGTTTAAAGGATCACTTTCGTACGAAACAATCGAGCGTAATCAGAGGCCGTTGACGCACCATAATACCCGAAACAATAACGTAATAATTACCTGGCAATTCGGAGGCCAACATTCCGTCCCATAACTCGTGCGCCACGCTGTTACCTGAAAAGGAACAATTCTCCTTAGTTGCCTTTCTCTTTCCCTCGTTGCTTTACCTGCCTCTTATTTACAATTCGATCTGCAGAATTTCATGCACAAATTCTTGTTTTCTTCAAAACTTAAGCTGCAGATTTTCGTACAAAGTAAAACATTTGTTAATTTAAGAACTGCAATCTCGATTAACATTTCTTTAATTAGTTTAATATTCTATACGTTAAATGCGTCAAATCTGCACAAACCATTAACAATCCTTCTATTACGTTAGCATGTACTTGAAATAATCGTTACTTAAAATGGAAACTTGTTACTTAAAGTGGAATCCAAATATAAGAGTAAGAGCCCTCGGTGAAGGAAGAAGATTGAGGCGAGTCTTTTGAGAATTTTCCAGTCCCGCTGGGCGTCCGTCGTAATTCCATTGCCTCTGAGTGTTTCCTTAAAGTAGTCGCAAATTCTATTTTCCCCCGTGTTTTTTCCCCCAAGGTTGCCCGATAACGAAGAAAATGGATGTTTCCGAGGAATACACGGCGGTCATTGATGAAAGGGCACAAAGGAGGCTGATTGTTGCATTTGCGACAGATGGAACGAGATTTCTGTCACGAAATACTAATCTAATGAGAAAGATGAGATCCGCAGAAATTAAATGAATAAAAAAATGTTTAAATTGCTAGTTTAGTATTATCATAATGAAAATCTACAGTCTACTGATAAGACGAAAACTGACTGACACACTGACGGACTGATTGAACAAAAATTTTTGTTAAAAGTGGTTAACGGTTCCTTTCTAATTACAAAGGAAGTGGCAACGAGAACGAAAGCAGCGAACAAAAGCGGCAAGGAAGCGGTCATCGCGCTAATTTCGGTGAACGTGTTTCCGCGATGACACGCGGAAGCGACCAACCAGCCCATTGAACCAACCGCGTTTCCCTCTGTTTCTCCTGCTCTTTCTTGTCATTAGAAAGCTTTCATCGCACAAAAATCGTGTCTACCTCTTTCCATCGACCGACTCTTTCGCCCACGATTCCTCCAAAGACGTAAAAACAGTACAAATTGCGACAAGGCTAATTGATCGCGAGGACAATGAATTTTTTATTTTATGACAACACTAAGTGAGTAGTATAACAGCAAAACTTTCTACGACAGTTTCTGAAAAAGTTAAGACATTTATTGTACTCTATTTTGTTGACTAATCTGACTGTATCAAAGACCAGATTTAAAACTGACGTAAATCATCTGAAGATATTGATTGAAAATCAGAGTTATTATTAGAAACGAGAGGAATTCATGATTGTCGATGCTTCGTTCAGCCGGTCAAAAGTGTCTCGGGTGGATATAGCCGGTTTCGCTTACTACACATGTATAGTTCGGGGGATCGTATAGGTGAAAGCGAGACAAAGCGCATTCCTGTGCGGCGTCCAGCCCTCTTGTCCTCTTTTCTGTATAATTACTTTAATAATCCGCCTTCGTATCGACTTCCACTATCCCGGGAACTCCTTTCCCCGGACACGTTCGACGAGAAAAGGCGATGCGAATGGACATAAAATACGAAAACGGAACACTAGATTAAATAGAATTCAATATAAAACAATTGAAACGTACAATAAATTCATTTAGATACAGGACGTGCATGTAAGTTCGCAAGTACGAAAAACAAAATGTTCTCTTTGTTCAACTCTTTTAAAATAAACAATATGTGTAACAGACACGGAACGGAATGAGATTTTTTCTCGGTTTTTCAGCATTGTACCATGTCTGTAAGACAGCGCATACGTGACCGTATTAACGCGCGTGGAAAAATGCATGGTTCACGCGTGCGAACACGAACACGTGAGTATACACACATACAGTCACGAAATTGCATATTTCTGTGGTGGGACCATTGGTGAAAGGGAAAAGATACCGGCAGCCTTAAATACTACAAGTCTATTTGCATTCAGCAATACTTGCTCCATTTTTTTATATTCCGAAGGAATTGCTCATCTGGAATTCTGATAAAATAACAAATTGTCAAAACGATACGTCATAGTAATTAATCCAAACGGAAGGCTGCAATTCGTTGTTAAGTATCGACACGAATAAGATGTGAGGTGTGATTATTAGCTGCCAGCGTGTTTACAAGAATTTAGAAAGCGACGGGCAATGTGAATACCGAACGATACGTTTTCGATAGCTCGGAGCTTCGGGGGAGGTTCTCAGCTTAGAAAGTTCACGATTTTTCTCACATGGATGAGCAATATCTCGACCCAGGATAAAACGAACCGTGAATTTCTTTTACTTTCATCCTTGCCTCTATTTACATTGTCAAGAAACTCGATACTCAACCAAAGGATTGTCTTGGAAAATGAAAATTCTCATATTCATCGTTGTCCCTTTTTCCTTTTATGCATTTTTCTATGTAAATTTCAGAGACATATTTTATATCAAACTTGTATCGTTTAGGAATTTCTATTATATATTGTAATTATTTCTTTTTATTTCTTTTATTTACTTCGCATTGTTTGCCAATATTCATGACCTACGAAACAAATGAACTTCCTGAAATGTGAAATGTAGTGCAGACATTGCAGACAAAGTTTAACCGTATACAAAGTTAGAGTGCAGAAAGTGAAGGTATAGCGATGAATAACGCTTCGACGGGTAACTACCGGAGACTGATTTATACAGAACCAGGAATCGTTACCAGCGTCCTTGAATTTCACCCTCTCACTTCTCTCATGGAAAACTACTTGTATAATCCAAGTTTACAATGAACTAACCCGATCCCAAGAACAATGAGGCTGGTACACGATTCCTCTCTAAATCTCTGCGTCACAGACGTGAAAATGTAAATGAATATCGCACCAAGATCTGGGATCTACCCTTGAAGGAGCATCCCTTTATTAAAATACTTGAAGCTAATTGGCCGCAATGCAAACGTCGTGCAATTTTCCCTTTCCTCAGGATGACCCAGCATTATAGATTCGAAGAAACAATGCCGAAGGATGCGACGCCTTATCTTGGGAGTTATTCTCGCAGGCACAAGTAGTATTGCGAGTACACACCTGTTCAGAAATCTTAAAACATTTCGTAGAAAATATTTACGATACAATGATTTATTTTGTATAAAAGTCTACAGACTGATTATTGCGTATTGTAACAATTGTACAAATGAAACGATATGAATATGAATGAAGAAATTAATGAAGATTTGTATGTTAAGTATGTTACTGTGCGATTGAGGTCATATGATTTACTACATCGTGATTTATTATAATCTCTCAATTACGATTGTCTCTGACGGATTATTAATTATATATTTTGATAGACAGTAAAAATACTTGAAAGTGTCCTAAGACTTATGAAAGGAAGTGTACGTGGGACCGGGTGATTCCGCGGTGGATGCCGTGTAATCATCATCGCGCCGTGTATCCGGGCATTGAATTCGGAGGATCCTCCTATCCTTCGGATTACCACCTCATTGTACTCTACGCGTTTATCTTTCGCAAGACGAACAGCCGCCGGATCAACGAGCGGCCGAGGATCAAACGTGTAATCAATTGCAAAGAGATTGCAATGGGTTTCGCAATACTTAATCCAGCGCACAAGACAAATTAAGGAACTTGCATTTACAGACTGTAATAGACAGATTATAAATTCATTTATAAAATAGAATTTTAATGTAATATTTAGTATAATAAATTGAAGTACAGGAAGTCTTTTATGCTTTATAAATTATTGTACATATTTAGCTATTGATATTGCATATGCTTTTAATATAATTAAATTTCATACAAATGCATAGAATCCGCTCTTTCGTAATAGATTTATTTTTAATTCAATGCAGTATTGAATTGATTCCTAAAAATTCATTGATAAAAAGGATGAATTATATTGATATAGATAATGCAGATATTATCAACTCAATTAAATAGTCCATTGATTCAGACTAATATAATATTTCCTGATAACAGAAACCATGCAGTATTTATACCCATGATAGAAACCGTGATTGATAATTTCCTGATAAAACGGTAAAAGTTATACAATTATACGTAATAACAGAAAGGATATTCCCGTTGACCGTAATGCCAGGTTACTAAGTAATGTCATGCGATATTCCACCGTTATATAATTCCTCAATTGATGTCCATTAGCTCGGACGTGGGCGAGTGGCCCGTGCTCGATAAAAGGTGTCCGTTTCGCGACAGTTTTTCTTCCCTTCCTGAAGGGAATCACCGAGCGAGTGACTGACCCGCGATCGCTATCCACAGTTGCATAACACATGCCACCGTGCACGCTAGAACCCGCCTCTCACTTCTGTCGATACCGTCTTTTACTTCTTTCAATCTCGGTCCAACGTTTCTTGCCCATGTCCCTGTCGTGCCATTTCAACGCGCAGAAACCAAAGTTATTTCAGACCAATAGTCTCAAAAGACCAATTACTATGTCTTTACAATCCTTTTAGTTAACGTTTGGAAATATGCGCATAAACCAAATTAATTTTCCATTATTCCCTGTTGCAATTCATGCTATAAATTTGATTTCAAGTAAATGTTTCAGGCATTAATATCAATTATTCGAATCCACTAATGTAAATACAATTAATAAACCATTTGAACATCCTCTACCTGATTTAAATAATTCGTTATACAAATTGCGTGTCTGAAATCTAGTTAAATATTGAATATTATTAAATATTGGTTCTCTTTCGCGTGTTACTATCGACCGTCGAAGCCCGAGTCCCCTCAATTTCTCTAAAGCAAAAATGAGTCTCTTGGAGATCAGACGAGCGTGAAGGATGCGTGGTGGACAATCTGGAAAGAGATCTACTATATGTACTGGTTTGCGGTGCCCAATCGAACGAGAGGCTTTCTCCTGGATCGGGCCACGTCTGGGGCCTTCTAGGGCCTGGTGGGGATATCTATATAGGCTGCCCACTCCAGGTGAACCCGTTCAAACTGCCCGCGATCCTAAACCCGCGACCATCGATTCCCGTGGTGTTTTTTCTCAGTGAAAAAGAAAAAAGAAAGAATTGCAAGGGTAGAGGGGAGTGGTGAGAAGAAGGGGTACGCGGGGACATGGCTCGATCGTGGTGCGTTGTGAGGGAGTGCAACCAAGTCGTACAGTAACGAGCGAAACGCAGTCGGGTTTACCGAGATTTTTTTTTTTCTTTTTACGTTTCCGAGGAGTAGCATCTTGCGAGATTTCTGTGCTTGGGATTGGGACTACCCTGCGCCATGGTGAGTGATCATTTAAACAGGAACTACACATTGCACGGAGCAAAAGTGTTAATTAGGTTGTTTCAGAAATATGATTCTTTTTTAAATTACGAATTTGTAATTAATTCCTTTTTATTATTTTATACATTGTCACGTTACAATATTTGTGACCCTCTTTTTACATTTTGTAATGAAAATAATATCAATGATACTTTAGTAGTTTTCTGTATATCAAACATACAAGAATGATAAGCATACTTTAATTATAATGTCTTCATGAATGTTTTTATACAATTAATCCTCTGATCTTAGAAATTTTATAAAGTTGGAGTAGTGCGAGCAATTTCTCACTATCTACACTGATTCCGGTTGTGCACTTTCTATCGCTAACGTTATTAGTGAATCGTGCGTCGACTTACGCCCACGCGTGAATAGAATAAGGGAACCAAACAGTGGAAAGCTTCATTCCTATTCGACACTGATCCTACGTTAATGGGAAAATTGCATGAATTGTCGTCGATTAGCAGTATTTGATTTACCCATTCACTCGACACTACTTAGTACATTCTAATATGTTCACTACTTTTCTTGTACACAAGAACCGGGCGGACAACGAAGAAAATAAATACACACAGGCGAAGATTATTTCTCTAAATAAATCAACAAATAAATCGTCAAAGATATAGAAATGTAATCGAATAAAAATTAAAAGACTTGTAAAACTTTCTCTTGAAAACTTTCTTTCATCTAAAAAAATTCTCAAAGCGATTGCAGAATGGATTTAAAGAAACGAGTATAAAGGCAATCGTGCGAGAAGTCAACGTTCTGTAAAAAGAAAAAGGGAGTCGTTACCCAAACGGGGGGAGGAAAGGAGCAGTGACGGAAAAACACGCGTTTTCCTCGCATCGGAGGATAAGTCATCGTCGAGATGTGTTGTACAGAGTAATAGGCAAAATTGAAGCCGGCGCTCTGCTATCCGTCGCGCGGCGCGCCGGCGGGAAGGAAATGGGGGTCAGTGTGTGAACAGCTTCGCTCCTTATGTCGCAATTCGAGAGGTCGCCGACCGTTTTCCTCTTTCGATCACTTCTTTCTCTTTTTTTTGGTAGAAAAATCAGATCAGAATTTCCTGTACTACGTTTTCTCTATTATCACATACCCAATTCTCTAACTCCTGAAAAAATTTCATTTACAGTTCCACTTCATTCTGATAATCGTAATAAGACTTGTCCTATTATTCTCAAATCAGATTGTCGAGTTTGATAATTAAATATTTTGTACTTGTGCATAAATATATTGAATCTGAATGAAGATGAATACTTAATTGAAAAATGTTCGTCACAAAATTGTTTAAATAACGACAGAAGTGCGCATCATTTTCAGAAATTGTTTGGGAGGAGGGGGAAACGATGCAGAGAAGAGAAAGATTGTAATCTATCGTGGAAAGAGGCTTAATAGACAATGAAGATTCGCGGGTTCGATAAGGTGAACCGCAGGAATCCCTTTTCAGTTTTCTCTCGTCGCTCCTTTGTTGCGAATCCGGCCGACGAATTCGCCTGTAATTACGTTCGTCCTAAGTGCAATATACGCGATTCGCGTTGCGTAAACCCTCGTCTCTTATTACAATATCCGCGGCTCGGCGGTAACCGCGATTCGACCACGCTCCAACGGGTAAAACGGTCGATTGTACTCGCGAATAAATCCATTCTGAGAGGTAGTATGTGTCCTAAAACGACCCGACGTCCGTTTTAGCGCGTCCCGTGTTTTTCTCGACGGTAACTTCCTTTCTCCTCGTTGCAATTCATGGAAACATTCATACAGTTTAAGGGAAAAGATTTAACACGTTTGGGAAACTCGATTTCGTCAAATGATGAAACGAACACTTACATCTTTAATGCATTTAAATCCCATATAAGACTCTGGAGTGCACTTAATATAAAATCCGTATAAACTTCATGTTCAATTAATTCTACAATTTTTAATATTATGTTCATTTAAAATGATAATGAATCATGTAAACAGTTATAGAAGTTATGGATTTTGTTCGGTTTACTTGCTAAAGGAAATCGTACGAGATAAAAGCAGGTCCGGTCAAAAAAGTTCGAAGGCGAAAGTACTTGAGAAAGAAAGTCCACTCCCTGGTAAAGTGGAACGGACGATACGTTGGGAAGGACACGGGAATCGGGGCCCGAGAACGGGCCACGTGAGAAAGGAAGTCCGATCTTTCATTGCATTTTTCCCTGTCGATTATCTCCTCACGCGAATCGAAAGAGATAACGGCTCGTGGCATTTATCTTGTAAAGTGTTATATAATTATTGTTCTTATTGTAGATAGCAAATACTATAATGATGTATGAACAGGTGGTGCAGTAATGCATTAAACAATGATAACGCACTAGTGATGATATAAGTTGATAATCGCGAATAGCGTGCGATGGGAAAGATATATTGTTTTATACGAGTTGCCTGAGGTAATGAATACAAGGAAAGGGAAACGAGTTCCAGGCAGATAAAGTTTAAGTTTGTCCTCTACTTTCCATCGCATTGATGCAATCTGATAGTTTTAAATAATAAAAATTTCCAGTTCAGAATTTCATTAAATTGCGAATTTATTTGTACAATTAGATGTGTAAAAGATGTAAAAAATGCATGTAATATACAAAACTGTGAAGAACAGATTATCTAGATTTCATTTTTTAAAATATTCTTTCCCCATTATGATTATTATTAGACTGATTTCAGAACTACGAATTTCGTTTTAAATTCTGAATGCAGTGTCAGTATTCTAATTTCTAAATAAGAAAATAGTTCATAAAATTCTATCTTCATTTACATTATGAATTTTGATACAAGTACTAGTATCGATTTTATCGATGAATTTGTTTCCATCGTTCAGGATGAAATCGACAGGCAAATTGATAGGTCTTAACCCAAGCAATTACAAGGCGACCGGTCTTTTCTCCGCGCGACACCCTCTCAAAACGAAAGTCTTGCCGGAACAGAGGTGGTTCAAGTAGAGCGTGAAACGACGAAGGACGTTGCATTTTCGCGTGTCGTTTCCTCGATCGGGTTTAGTCGTTCGATCGACCACCAGTCGTTTCGTGTCTACCTAAACGTAGAATCGCGTTATCAAGACTCTATTCACCTGGAACGAACTAACACGAGCATTCTCATTTTTCTCTTTGTATTGTCTGATCGCGTGCAATGGAATCAGATTTTAATTCGATCTCCTTATCGCCCCAGAGTTAAAGTCACTCTGATAAATGAAAAATATGGAATGGTAATGAATGATTAATAACGTGTTTTAATGAAGTTGATGACCGTCCTCAAACACTCCTTTCTGTTAACTCGTTGACGAGCCGCACAAAAACTGGAATGTGTGTCAAGTACAGATGTAGGCAGAGAAAGCTTGGATTTACGTGCACCATGACCTATGAACCTGTTAGACGTTAAATTACTATTCGGTGATCAACGCCTGTTCGCATTCCATCCTTTCTCAAAAATCCAGGAAATATACATTTACATTAATCATCCTCTTACTGAGATAAACACACGTACACAACGATGCACACGTGTATCTATTTTAACGTAGTTACATGCAATTTCAATTATCAAACTATCAGAAGAATCTAATAGATTTTCGCAACGTGAATCGTGGAACACGCGATTAACATCTCAGTTTCGGATTTCAAGACAAGACGATTCTTCTCCGGTTTCAAAGAACGCGTCTGAAGGGTTAACAACCTCCACTTGTTCTTCTAGCTGGCGAGAGGTGCTCTCCAAGATCCTCTTTCATCGTTAGAGAAGCATTCCCTTCGCAGACTACCGTTTCCCCTTTTCATGCTGTCCATTCAGATATAAACACAGATGTGGCTTTCTGTAGATTTTTTCCCACTGACTCTCCTGCTTCAAAGCTGCTCAAACTATTTCTAACCATAGATTTCAAACGTTTAGCCTACTCTCTTTTTGCTCAGTTCCCTGGTTAATTAATCTATCATTTCTGATCAATTCTTATATTATACGCGATTGTATCATTGGATAAAATTCGAGTCCCATGAAAAACAAGATTACATTGGTGTATAGAAACTTATGTAATATTGTGCAAGCGAAATAATTGTGCCCCATTGGCGATCGTATCATGCGAAGGAAAAAGCATGTTCTGGATTTTTAACACTCCGTCAGTAAAACATAGACTGAAGAAAATAACCCATGAACGAAATTACAATATAGATAAAAGATCCGTACTAAAATATTATATAATTTTTTTTATAATATTGAATCATTATAATACTCGATTCAAGATGCACCTACACATTTTATACAAATAACAGATAAAAACAAGACACGTGTTTACGTCGAATTCTACGTGAAGGGAACAATTCACTAACCGGTAGTATCATCGTTAATCGAATCAGAGTTCGTTCTCTGTCACTCATTTTATATTAGTTTATCGGTTCGCACTAGGAAGAGTAGCTCTCCCCGAGATCAATTGGTCGACCGCGCCTTCGCAGAAGCAGCCGCTTCTCTCGAAACGAGAGAAAGGTGGTCCGACCTCGATTCCAATCCAGCCGCACCGTTCGCTCCGTTTCAGCGACCTCGTCGATTGATAATCGTTCCCGTTGTCCCCTTCGCGATTTTAAGTCCCCTCGTCATAGGGAAAGTTACTGATAAATGAGGGAAATGAGGAATGATGTTAACGAATCGTTCACAACTGTAATGGATAGGATGATAAGATACAATAGGCATTGTTCGTGCCTGTGGGAAGTTCCTGGTTGTCAGAATGAGCTGTATAAATAATATTTATTCTAATTAAATCTCTCTTCATTTTACATTAGTTATGATTCCTTATCACATGTATCGTAATCATGTAATAAATCATGTTTCAATTAAATTGTACTTCAAATATATAAGAATATAAATAATTTTCATCGAATAATTCCGATAAAAAATATATACTCTTTAAACTTGTCAATTTTTATGCAGTAAATTTTTTATACATAAAATTCGTAGTCTAGTCATAGAATTTATGAATTAGCGAAAAGGATACGAAACGAAATATTTCTATCGTTTTTTTTATTTCCTTTCTCGTCTCGCTAAGTTTAACCTTCGTGAGAGGGTTAAACGTCAGGAGAGACTGTGTCGGAAGCAAGGAGAGAGAAAGTTGTGTTCTCGGACCGGCTGGATACGCCCAACCGAAACGAGAACGAAAGATCGGTCAGGAGTGTCTTTCATATATTGCTTGTGTACCTGCACGCATGTCTGCTTTCTTCGATAGTGAAAGGAAGAGTTCTTTTTTCTTTCTCTCATTGGCCGAACCGCGCGTGGATCCTGAGGATCGATTTCTCGTCTCCTCGAAAGCGTGCTATTGGGAAAAAGAAGAAGTAGGCGGTTCGAGCTATGTAGATCGTGAAGTTCATCATTGGAAACTCTTTAGAAATTAATACACTTCACCTGTCTCCCGACTGAGATCGATACGCGAGCTTTTTCGCCGCGACGCTCGACCGATTTTCGAAAGCAATTTTCAATTGAGAAACGTCATTAATTAAATACTACGCATTCGTTCGTTCAGTAAAATCAACAAATCAAGTCTCCATAAGATGAAATATTAATAAAATTGGAAAATGTCCTGATTTACATTCCTCTTTTTTAATGCAAAAGGTGTACTCGTCTATCGAAAGATTTCGTTTATCCCTCATTCCGTAATCTCGACTCGTTCTTTCTGGTAACACGACAAAGCTTCTTGATCGAACGAGCAGAAGTTTGTCACCTCGGGACAAGTTTTAAAGCGTCGCCGAGAACGGAAACTCGTCGATGATAAATAAATCAACACGAGAGTTCCCGCGATGTTACCATCAAAAGTGCGGAGCGCGGAATGTAAGGAGAAGCCGGGGCCGGCCCTGGGGCGAAAGACGTTACGTAATCCCTGCAACAATTTTACGGTGCACGACGACCGAAATTTTGATCAGGAAGCTGTCGTCACGGCGATACGATTCTATTCCAACACCGTGACGCAACGTGACTCGATTCACAAATCGAATCCACCTGACATGCACACAGAAGTCATTTTCCTATTTACCAATCACGAAATGTATGTTCACTAATAATCTCATCTTATTTCTAATTAATTATCTTATACGATTTCATAAAAATTCTAATGAAAAAAATATTGTCTTACATTTTGCGGATATATAAACGTGATATTGTCAAAATATTGCAGAATGTGCAGAATTTTTGTCAGATCGTGGAAACAGAAATGAATGCCATAAATCTTTATCACGTTGTAAAAACAAACGCGTATACAAATAAATCTATCTTCATAAATCATATTTTTAATAAATTCTTCGTAACAAAATAGAGCGACTTTAATCCGTAGTTTTGAAGTAAATCTATTGTACTGTACGACAGAATTCGATCAGTTGAACTATTTAAGGATGTACTGGCTATACAGTCAGTCCCAAAAGTTTATGTAGCTTAGAAAAACGCATTTCCTATAA